CAACATGGCGAAACTCCATCAATACTAAAAAAAAATACAAAATTAGCTGGGTGTGGAGGTGGATGCCAGTAATCCCAGCTACTTGGGAGACTGAGGCAGGAGAATTGCTTGAACCGGGAGGCAGAGGTTGCAATGAGCCAAGATTGTGTCATTGCACTCCAGCCTGGGCAATAAGAATGAAACTCCATCTCCAAAAAAAAAAAAAAAAAAAAAAAGTCATAGACTCACTAAACAGAAATGGGTATTAGGTATATATTTCTTTGTTTAGCAAATGTACAAAATACACATAGAGTAAATAAAAAATCAGCAAGAAGGCAGAAGAATCTAAATGTATTTAATCAACTCTGTAGGAAAAGCTAATCACTTGGTGAATTACTTACTGCTTGACTCAAAATTTTGAAGAAAGGCTTTTTATGCAAACTTGTCTAAAACATCCTTAAAGTTTAGACAAGATATAGATAAAAATAGAATGGAATAAAATGCTTTATTTCTATAGATAGAAATAAATAGAAAAATTCAAAGGGATATAAGACGTCATTTATAAAAGGCTCAATGACAAATGATTTTTATAAAACTCAATTGGAAATGCCATTAGACAAATTGGTTTAAGAAGTATCCTTTAATTGCACATTCTAAATGTAGACAAGATAATTATTAGGTGAATAGATTTTAGGCAAATTAGCTTTTAGTAAATTGGTTTAGGGAAAATTGGTCTTTTGCTTTTTACATGTTGGGGGCATAGAAATAGAACCTGGAAATTATCCCAGTGGCTCCTCTGGATGGACATTGGTTCAGATGCTGGTTGGAACTGATGCATCCTGGCTTCGAGTGTTGCAGTATCCCTGCCTCAGGCAGCACCATACACCGAGCAATGTAGTGCCCTGATCCAGTGATCCTCAGCTCCTTGCATATGCTGGGCATTTTGGGAAGCTTTTTTTTTTTTTTTTTTTTTTTTTTTGGAGGGGGCGTTTTTCTATTGTCAGGCTGGAATACAGTGGCGCAACCTAGGCTCACTGCAACCTCCCACTGTCTGGTTCAAGTGATTCTCCTGCCTCAGCCTCCTGAGTAGCTGGGATTACAGCCACCAAACCTGGCTAACTTGTGTATTTTTAGTAGAGACAAGGTTTCACCACATTGGCCAGGATGGTATCAGTCTCCTGAACTCATGATCTGCCCGCCTTGGCCTTCCAAAGTGCTGGGATTACAGGTGTGAGCCACTATGCCTGGCTGGGAAGCATCTTAAATCCAAATGTCTGGCCCAGAGATTCTGGTTCTGCAGGTCCAAAGTCAAGTCCAGGAGCACAAACTTGCATCAGGCAGCTATTACAGGTGCTCCAAGGACCTTACCCTGAGAAATGGTGCCCTTTTGTTCAGAGAAAAGGACAGAAGTTAGAGGCCAAGAGTTGTTTTTGACTGTGGCTTTTTAGAAATGCGATGCTGGGCAGGGCACGATGGCTCACGCCTGTAATCCCAGCACATTGGGAGGCCAAGGCAGGCGGATCACTTGAGAGGTCAGGAGTTCAAGACCAGCCTGACCAATGTGGTAAAACCCCATCTCAACTAAAAATACAAAATTAGCCAGGTGTGGTGGTGGACACCTGTAATTCCAGCTACTTGGGAAGATGAGGCAGGAGAAGTACTTAAACCTGGGAGGTGAAGTTTGCAGTGAGCTGAGATTGCGACATTGCACACAGCCTGGGCAACAAGAGCAAAACTGTCTCAAAAAAAGAAAAAAATAAGACACTTCGGTGCAAACCTTGCAAATGTGATACATCCTGAAGTGTTAAGGATTTTGTTCCAGGGACCCTTAACACATAGTCCTTCATTTGAAGACTCTGGTTCTCCAAAGCAGGTGCTCATTTGTTTGGTCAGGAGAAAGAACCAGGAGGGCGGAGTGGAATTCTCTGCCTAGGAAGGGGCAGTGATTATATTGAGTTCTGCCCATCTTGTTAATCAGTAGCTTATTGTAACATTCTACCACTTCTTGTCACTTCCATAGCCACTGTGCCTGGCTGCACTACGGCTTCTAAGAGCCATGGAAGTGGACAATGGTGTTGAGCTCTTCTGTGTCTCAGCACTTTGGAACTAGCTAGCACTGCCTGTTAAGTTCCTGAATGTGGTGACCTTGCACCATGTCCATGAGAAACGATAATGAACAGGATAAGCCCTCAGGAACAAACACGCGGAAGCCTTGTGGTTATGACTGGTTTGCATTTTGGCGTTAGGGGAACAGTCTCTTCAGGTCCCATGAAATTATTAGAATTTTCTGTGTCTTAGCTCTAGGATCAGAAGTTGAATGTCCATATGCACAACTGTGGGATCCTAAAATTGTCATCCATTTCAGGCTCACCTCTCCCTCCTAGAGTATCTATTTCCAGGTAAGGTGTGAATTCATCCCGCAGCAGATCATCGTAACTTTGGCTCATTCTGTAAACACGATTTGCGTCTCTTGTGATGTGAGCTGGGCACTGAACTAGATGCTGAGGTTTGAGACACAATAATAAATTACACCCTGTCACTGTTCTCCAGGAGAGGAGACAGTTATGTAAACAGGAAGTGCAGCATAGTGTCTTCAGAGAGCCTGCTTTGTCATCTGCAAGCATGAGATAGCCATGGCCTCTACCTCAGACTTGTAGGGATGAAACTGGTTAACATAAAGAATACTTAGAATAGTATCTGGCACATAGTAAGCGTGATAGAAGTCTTGACTGGCATGACTGTCGTCATTCCTGCTATCATCAACACAGACATTACATTCATCCACATCCCCACTCTCTTTCCACAGAGTGGGAAGAGGGATGTAATGATCAAGGAAGGCTTTTCCGGGGAGATAGATTGTGAGCTGGATCTGAAGGGCGCCTAGGAATTGACCAAGAAGACAAAACAGAGGAGAATATTCCAAACTGGGAGAAAGTGACATGCAAAGGCCCGGGGTTATGGAAACATCGGGCAGTTTAGGAAAATCAGCAGCTCGGAGTGAGGGTAGATGGTGTGGGTAATGGTGAGAAAAGTGGGCAGGAACCAAAGGGGAGGTGGGAGGCCGGGAGTGATCGTCTCCAGCTCCTTAGTGGGATAGGGAGAGGCATCTGTGGAAGGTGAGGATCCTGGAGGAGGCTAGGGAAGACTGCAGCAGCTCTTGGGAGAATGGCCAAGGCCACCTGGTCAATTTTGTTGAGGGTGGAGACCCTGAATCCATGAGCCACCAAATAAGTAGGATCCACAGGAGAAAAGCGATCTGGACAGTAGGAAAGATTGTGCTTTGGCTTTCCAGGTGCCGTAGGTAAGATTAATTCCGACAGGAGTAACCAGAGCAGACTTCATAGAAGCACAATGTGGACACAAGAGATGAACCAAGCAGCAGCCAGCCCATGGAAGGCCTTGAACGATGTATCAGGAAGGTTTAGTCCACGGATGGGTTTTAAACTGAGGAGCAACATGATCACATTGGTGCTCTAGGAATGACACTTTGGGAGGACTGTGAGTTAAACTGGAGGAAGCCCACGTTCTAGGCAGATAGATCATTGGAGAAGGATCTATGGCCTCCGAGATGGAGAGTCAGAACTGCATGGTGCCCCCAAACAGGGTGTGCCAGTGTGGCATTGAGACTCCCCACTCCTCCCTGCTATGCTGTTCCAGACCATGCTTCTCCCAGGCAAGCCTACAACCTACAGGAAATTCAGCCAGGTCCCCTCCAATGTTAAATGATTTCCAGAAACATGGGCTACAGCAGCAGACCACAACATCTCCCCAAAAATGCCCTGGAGACTAGTCTGACCCTGAGCTCAAATGTGGAGCATCTCTAGGAGGCTTCAATGGCATTGTCATGGAACCCAGTGGTTGGTTCTAGGTAGGTTCCAACAGCCTAGAGTGCCCTGGGGGGGCCTCCTTACTGTTTCAGCAGCCCACGCTTGAGTGTCCCCACCCGTCCAGCAGTCACTTTCATCCTGCCCCACTCAGGCACCCAAGCCAGGATCTGCAAAAACTAACCTTCACAAAGCATCCTCTCAAGGCAGGATGGTCGTCCCTAGGTGACAGATGAGGGAATTAAGGTTGGCAGCAGTAGAGGCATTTGCAGAGTGACATGCTGTTGGTGGACTTGACCCTGGGGCTGGTTTAAATCCGATGCCTGTGGGAAGTGCCAGCTTTGAAAGGATCTATTCACATCATAATGGCAAAATTGTGGGCATATATTGTAGACTGGCATGTCTTAGTCTGTTTTCTGTTGCTGTCACAATACTTGAGGCTAAGTAATTTATGAAGAAAAGAGATTTATTTAGCTCACATCTCTGCAGACTGGGAAGTATGAGAAACGTGGTGCTGCCGTTGAGGACCTCTGGCTGCTTCCAGAGGAAAACGGAAGGGGAGCTGGTGTGTGCAGAGAGCACATGGCAAGAGAGAAAGCAAAGGAGAGAAATCGAGAAGCCCGGACTTTTTAAAACAACCCACTCTCCCTTGGGAACTAATCTGTTCCTGGGTGAGCTAATCTATTCATGAGGGATCCACACCCATGACCCAATCGCCTCCCACCAGGCCTCACCTGTTAAAGGTTCCACCTCCTGACATCCTTACGTTGACAATTAAATTTCACCATGAGTTTTTTCAGAGACACACTGCATCCAGACCATAGTTTTGCATATCCTAGCAAAGGTTTCCTTGATGGTCCAAAGGTTTCCGTGAGCAGAATGTTCATCACATGCCTCCTTCCCCCTGCCTCACTATCTGGGCTGCTCTCAGGTTTCCATCTGACATACTGTGCATTGGACACCACTGATATCTGGCTTCCTGAAGGCCCTTATGGCCAGCGCACTTAGAGTAGCAAACAAGAGTCAATGGATGCATCCTGCTGAGTAGCATTCATCATGCTGGTATCTCCGATTGACATATTTTACCTGAAAGGCCCACCTCAATGGCCGCAGTCTCCAGATGAGTGCATTTGGTGTTCCAGGTTTCTTCTGATGCCCCCAAACTCACATCTGCCTCTCACCCTCTTTCTGCCGCAGATCCTGGCGCCCCTGTGAAATTGCCTTGTCTGCCAGTGAAACTATCGCCTCCGCTACCTCCAAAGAAAGTCATGATCTGTATGCCCGTGGGGGGGCCAGACCTCTCGCTGGTGTCCTACACAGCCCAGAAGAGCGGCCAGCAGGGTGTGGCCCAGCACCACCACACCGTCCTGCCGTCCCAGATCCAGCACCAGCTGCAGTACGGCAGCCACGGCCAGCACCTCCCCTCCAGCACCGGCTCCCTCCCCATGCATCCCTCGGGCTGCAGGATGATAGATGAGCTCAACAAAACACTGGCCATGACCATGCAGAGGCTGGAAAGGTAAAGGCGGGCACCGGGAGGGAAGGCAGGCGGAGAGGGGCTGGCTGGGGAGCAGGGCTTAGGGATTTGGACCATGACTTAGGAATGTGAACAAGGGCTCATCCTCACTAGAGGGAAAAGTTTGAAAGTAAAACAAGACAAAAACTGAAGGTCAAAGCATGGAAGAAAATAAATGTTGCCAACTGAAAAGCTCTAGGGTAATCACATTTATCAAAAAGAAAAACTAACATTCATACATATATATATATATATATATACACACACGCACACACAAGCATGTATATATATACAAGCATACACGTATATGCTTTTATAGATATACATGCTTGTGTATATATGTATGAATATATGAATGTTGGTATACACACACACACACACACACACACACACACACACACACGTATATGCTTGTATATATACACAGTCCTCAGTGTCATCAATAGGTTCATGAAAATTGCAACCTCCATGAAATAAAATGTAACGAAACCAACTTCACCACAGGCTAATTGATATAAACCAGACTTAAGATCCTATGGTATAATTCTGGTCACAAAAATATCACCCAACTTCTAAATAAAGACCAGAACCCTTCTAATATTAAACATTGAGATAAATGTGAGCTGTACATACATTTAAGAAAGATTAATAAAGACAAGGAAGGTGACTACCCAGTTGTTCCAGTTCAGAGTAGTGGCTAGCCAGAGCCTGTCCCAGCAGCTCAGGACACAAGGCAAGATCTGGCTCCAGCCAGACATCATCCCATAACAGGGTGCAGTCACACCCACACCCACACTCACTCAGACCTTGAACAGCATAGGCACGCCATGTCAGCTGGCGTGTACATCTTAGGGATATGAGAGGAAACCTGAGTACATGGAGAAAACCCAAACAGTCATGGGGAGAATGTGCAAACTCCACATGGAAGATGGCCCCAGCTGGGAGTCAGCTTTTTTTTCTCATCAACGTTATGGCAAAATGACATTGAATGAGATGACCTTATTCAAGGACCTGCTGTATATCCATCTATGTATATGTGTGGGTGTACACACATACATACACACACACATACACATATTATGTCTCTATAAGCATAAACATTTTGTAAAAGAATATATATATAGGCCAGGTACAGTGGCTCACGCCTATAAGCCCAGCATTTTGGGAGGCTGAGGCAGGTGGATCACCTGAGGTCAGGAGTTCAAGACCAGCCTGACCAATATGGTGAAACCTTGTCTCTACTAAAAAGACAAAAATGAGCTGGGCGTGGTAGCATGCACCTGTAGTCCCAGCTACTTGGGAAGCTGAGATAGGAGAATTGCTTGAACCTTTGAGGCAGAGGTGGCAATGAATCGAGATCGTGCCACTGCACTCCAGCCCGAGTGACAGAGCAAGACTGCATCTCAAAAAAAAAAAGAAAAATAAGAATGTATGTACAGTCAATAATAGCATTTACCCCTGGGGTGGGGAAATGGGGAGAAAATACTTTTATATTTCATCTCTATACTGCCTTTTAGTTGTATATATGTTACTTTTATGATACTCAAAAGAATTCAAATGTGAAAGAAGATAAGGGCTGGCAGGTATTGGAAGGAAACAGGAGGGCTGGGAAAGGTGGAAAGATATACCCTATTCCTGCTGATGGAAGAAGCAGAGTCCCAGGGTCTGATTATATGCGCATGTGCCACTAATACTTGGCCACTACCAGGACAGCTCCCTCTTTCACCAGAATCTGCCTCCAACTGCTCTTCAGGGAGAGCTGCAAAGATGACCCCACAGGCAGGCCTGCAGCAATGCCCCTAACTCCTCACCACCTAGGGAGATCTCTCAAACTGGTTCTGAATTACTCTTGATTATGTGTGCACACATGATCATGTGTGTGTGTGTATTCAAACACCGCCACCTACCTCAGATCCAAGAAGGGACCGGGATTCCCATTGTGGCTCTAGGGCAGGTTGCTTGACTTAGGGCCCTGATGTGACAAGGAGAAAGTGTATGTATCAGGTTGAAAAGGTGTGTCTGACAAGGAGCTGAATGCTTGTCCTATAGTTGTGGCTGCTAGTCACTGGGTCCTATGCATGGAAAATTGCAGTCTGGAGGTACCAGCAAATCACCAGAAAGCCAAAACTGAGATGCACAGGCAGGAGCTTCTGGGTCTGTTTTCCTGACTCTCAGTGGCTTTCTCTGCTCCTGCCTCTTAGCTGAGTATTCTGTGTTTGGGAAATGAGTGATTCGCTGGGAGGTTGCTGTGTCTGGGAATTCTGACTTGATTACTTGGTGTTAACACTGTGCTTGCTGCAAAAGGAAAAAAACCGTAACTTAATTTGGCCCCTTGCTATCATTTGCAACTACTCTTGTTATTAATTAGAATAATAATAATTTAAAATGTAGGTGGCACCTTTTAATCTATTACACATACACATCGTCGTCACTGTCATTGTCGTCTTATTTAATCCTCACATCACCTATGGACACTGAGTATTTGGAGAAACTGAGGGAGGTTCGCTAAGTTCCCCAAAGCCACCTTCTCAAAGGGGAGCCCACAAATGGCTTATCTGACATCTGCAACCACGTAAATGCAGACATTGAGAACAAGCTTTTAGATACACTTATAGCAGTTGGACAGAACAATTTCATGTCTGTTGAATCTTGACATTAAAAAGGGTTTCATTATTTTTTCATTTGTGTTATATTTTACAAAAGCATCAGTTTTCAATGGATTAAAAATTTAAAGAACTGAACAATAAGAACCGTTTCTTCCCTGTACACGTTTGGAAAACATTGCCCTAGGTGGCAAGTTGAGAGGCCAACCCTCCAGCCTGGGTCTTCCCTCTCCAAGCCCAGAGCTCTTTGTACTAACACACAGCTGCTTCCTAAAGACAAGCAGCAGTCAACATCATTGCCCACCCCATGTCTATGTGCATGCAGTAGGTTTTTGTATTTCTCATGAGCTTCAGTTATTAGAAAAGATACTTGTGATATTAATAGGATGTGGCTAAATGTGCTTCCGCATTAAAAAAACATTAAAAGGTTCAGTTAAAGATGCTGACAAGTTTTATTATATATGTGGGTATTCGTGGAATATTTCAGTTTCATTTAGATCAATGGGTAGATCTAGTGGGATATGGGGATTTTGGGTGGAGGGGTGTTGGGATATGCAGCATGCTCTGGCAGCAGAGCCAAGGCAGTCTCTGTGCTTTGTCCCAACCCAGATTCATTTCCTCCTCCCTTCTCCCTCACTTCCCACTCGAGGTCAAAGCATAGGGTTGTCCTAACAGACCACCCCAGGATGCAGAGATTAATACATGCATCACTTTGACAAGATCACCACCCTAGAGAAAGAGAAGCTTTCTTCCCAAAGACCACCCCAGAGGCCTTCTTTCCAAATAAAGATTGGAGAGATATTTCTGAGTGTCCCCATCATCTCCAGGAAGAGTCTGAGAGTAGGCCAAGGTCACAGGCCACACTGCTTAGTGTAGGGAGGGAATCACCAGCTGTTTTTGGATAATTTCCCCCTGATTTTTACTACTTAAAAATGCTCCCTGTTGCCTGTCAACATGATTTCATTCTTGTTTTAACAAAGTTTTATGCAGAAAGAAAGAATCATTTCTCTGTCCTCCTGGCAATTTCCAGTGACCCCAAAAAACTCTGCAAGAAGGGAGAGAGATTACCAGACACTCAGGTATCCTGCCTACAAAGTTCCTTGGATCGACCCCCTTGTTCATGCCATTGCTGCCCCCTGAAATCTCAGAGAATGTCACCGTAGAGCATCGGTCCAGACGGACAGTCCGATCCTGATGAAATAGGAATGTAAAAACTTGAATGGTGAAGTAAACAGCATCAATGCTGTTTGGACCATACATTTATACAAATCATCTTATCATTGAAAGTGTCCTTGAAGACCATCCAGGCCACCAAGCCCCTGCCCACAGCAGTGTTCCTGACCATTGATCCTCTGATATCTGTTCCAACAGGACCTTTTCCAGGTCCCAAAATAGCCTGCTCCATTGTCAGGAAGGTCCAACTGTTACAAAGTTCCCTCTCGATTAAAAGTTTTACTGATTGGAATTTCTATCTGCTCCTTCCCCGATCTTATTTCTAATCTTCCTTTCCTATAAAATGCTTTTAAATCTTTGAAGATAGCTACCATTCTCTTCATCTAAGGACTTGTCTAGATCTTATCCCATCGTGTTCACTTTCCCCTGAGATTATACCAAATCTCCTGTTTTATATGGAGAAGTTATTTGTTTTTTATATTTTTTATTTTTGAAACAGCAACTCACTCTGTTGCCCAGGCTGCAGTGCAGTGGCATGATCATGGCTCTCTGCAGCTTCAACCTTCCAGGCTCAAGCAATTCCCCCACCTCAGCCTCATGAGTAGCTGGGACCACAGGTGCATGCCACCACACCCAGTTAATTTTTTAAAAATATTTTTTGTAGAGACGGAGTATTGCCTTGTTGCCCAGGCTGGCATCAAACTCGTGGTCTAAAGTGATCCTCCTGCCTCAGCCTCCAGAAGTTCTGGAATTCCGAGTGTGGGCCACGGCACCCAGCGTAGAAGTTCTTAGACATTACCCTGCCTAAGCCTGCTTGATGGCACTAAACAGTGACATGGTTAATTTATAGCTTTCTCTCACAAGATTTGGGGGAAGGAGCTAGAGTCCACTTGAAGCAAATTTAAAGGGTTATATTTATTCAAAATCGCAGGGCTGCCCTGGGCAGTGGGGGCTGAGCTGGAGGCAGTAATCACCCCCACTTCAGTTAGTTCCAGAATTAACTGCCAGAGTTTGAATCTTAAACACACCACATATTAGCTATGTGACCCTAAGCGTGTGGCTCAACCTCTGCTTGATTTTCGTGCCTTATCTGTAAAGTAAAGATAATCATAAAATGCCAGTAGCCTCATTAGGGTCGTTTGTGAGGATCAAATTATTTAATGAATCCAAATCAATGGAGTGATTGCATGGTACATAGTAAGCAGCTAAGAAATGGCATTGAACATG